ATTCAGAAGTTCCATTGGCATCAGTTGTCTTTGCACCAGAAGTAATAATTTCATTCAACCTCAACTGCAGAGTAATAATTTCATTCAACCCAACCATGTCAGAATATGATAAAGTCTAAAGCATCTTTTTAAAATTTTTCATAAACATGCCTTTCTTGCTCTAATCATAAATAGATTGGGCAACTCCATATCTTGGTCCTCCTCATTTTTTCTTTGCGATAACCTACTCATCCATATTTAGATGTAGAATTTGAATGGTTTGCGTCATTTTTTCTCAACTGTTTGATTAAAAAGGTAACAGATGGATTAGTGAGCGTTGGAAGATTTAGCAAACATTAGGGCAACTCTTTATTGTAGATTCTGGGTCCAGCTTAATCAAATGATCATGACCCCTATTCAAAACCATCTTGTTAATCTAACCATGTCAAAATAAGTGAAGGAGGGAGCACACATAATCCTTAACTGATAAAACGGGGCACCACTAACCTTTGCTTCTTTGATCTCAGTGCTGGCATCATCAAGTCCATCCAACATAGAAGCATCCTTGCTAACAAGGGAAACCTTCAAAAGGTCACCAAGTCAGTTATGTAAATTTAAAGTAAAGCAGGCCAAACTCTTCAAAGCAAAGCTACCAACCAGTATGGGTGTTAACTGCCCTTCAAGATCAAGCAAGCCTTTGGCAAAAGCAGCAGCAGACATCTGTCAAAAAAATTATTGTAAATTATTTGATTGATAGACCTATTGCCAATGCGCATATTAAGAATTTATATCAAATCAATCTGGAGCAGATATGAGCTGAGAGTATGACTGAAAATCAATAATTTTACAAATACTTAGCATATACCTGCACACGGCCCTCATCAGAACTGTAAATTTTAAGATCGTGGCGGTATGTACTATGGAGGCGAAGCAGGCCGGTTCCTTCACCTGCAATTATACAATAATATTTAATCTATCACATTACTATAGCTTTATTGATATGCAAATTTTAAATTTAATGAAAGATGTGTAAAAAGAAAATAACAGTTATTTAGGACTAATTGAAATAGTAACCGTTTGAATAACATCCAGATTTGAATGGTAACATGTTTCTGGAAAATATTAGTAAATACAAAGGAAATCCAAAAGGATATGGTTCATGCCCTCACTCGGTTAGGAGAAACATTGCATGGCCAAACAACCATGGCCTCCTGACATTTATCCTATGGTTAAACAAGACACCCAAGATTATATCTACCAGATGCATTAGCAAATGTTAGTAAAGATGAAGATGTTAGTCCACGAGACCTCTTATATGTGTAAACAACTAAGCATACTTACTGACCTACCAATATATCAAGTTGAGAACCGAAAACATAACTACTAGCTACACCAAGAATGGAGCAAGTTACTTCCAACTAGGTGGAAATATAAGAAACAATGTTGCTTTGATAAGCTATTGATGTAACATGTAGACAAAACTTCCTAGTAAAACTAGGTTAATTATGCATCATTCAAGTTGTTATCAATAACAAATGATGAAATTAAGATCCAGCACTTTCCTTAAACTTCAATTCATCTTTATCTACAGTTAAATATCAGAAAATAGATTAAGCA